CATATATCAATGTTTAGTGTATTTTTGTAAAAATCCTAGGCTTTTTGATAGATTTAAAAAGAGGGTAAATTTTACTAGTGATTTCCTGTGTATTTATAGTTTTTTGTTACACTATTTTTTATTAATAACACTATGATAGTTTTAGAAACTTTTTTTCTCAACATTAAGTACTTAGTTTAACTAATTTTGGGCCGCTGATTTCAAAATTGTCATTTGTTTTTCTCTAGGATTTAAAAGAATTTCGTAATAAAATGCTCTGCTCAATCACCTCAAAATGTAAGTTTTTTGTTAGTATTTTAATTGTTTATTAAACTATTTTGGCTTAAATTTATATTGAATGTACTAAAGTAATCGGTATACGGCAAGTAGATCATATTTATCTTAACAATATGACATTTTAAATACTAAAACTAAAATTTTAATGTATTTTACGTAAAAAAACAACCATTATTTGACATTTTTTATCGCTTATTTTAATTATTAAATTGAAAGGGCAACAAAGTAAACAAGTTTCGTTTTTTTATCCAAATTAAGGCCACAAAATTTAATGCATTGAATAATTTTGCTTTTTCTACCTTAAATTTATTAAATCGCATCAAATATCGAATTGAATTATAGTATTATTGTGCTTAATCCTCATCATTTTCGTACATCTTTTGCTGCAAATTCCAGCAAATGTCTCCCAGCAATGAATCCAACTTCTTTCCGCTATAGCCATAGATATCTACCAATGCCCTAGATTTGCAGGTACTTGGTGAAATCGTTCTCCATGTTCATCAGTTCGGCAAATTTATTAGGATGAAAAAAAAGAAAATGTATTTTAAATGACATATTAACGCTAATTCTTTACAAAACGGAGAGCTTTTTTTCAATGAATTGGCACCAATTTTAGGCCCGATATGAACCAAGAACAAGCTCGTCAACTTTGAGAGCATTTTTGAATGCTTAATCTTTCATTAAACGTCGTATATAAGGTCCATTTAATATTCCTGAAAAATTAAAGTAGTAGGAAATCTCATAAAATTTTGTAATGAAATATTGCGTTGGTTTTTCTTGGGCGTAAAGGTACCGCAACAAAAACAAAACAAATTTACAACGACGACATTTCGCATAAAGGTTCGTCTCCTTTCTCTTTCACTGCCACTACCATTACCACTTCCATTTCCTGCCCTTTTTTAATTTTTCGTTCTTAAAATCACTTTTAGGTAAAAATTCAATTTAAAGTTTAAATGTTATATGTCAAAAATTAATAGATGCACTTTAATGTGCTTGAACGATAAAGTCGGTAAAGGCGCCTTTATACTCCAATTCGATATTAAATTTTGATAAGACTTAATAAATAAGATTGGAGATTAAATTTTTGAGTACTTTAGGCATGATATGAATACAAAAATATCAAATAATAGTAGAAGACAGGCTGAAGGACCCCGGTCGATGGCCTTTTGTATATTTTGTATTATATGTTCTGTATTGTACTGAATATGCAATAAAAACTTTATTTATTTATTATTATTTAGTAGAAGAGTAATGTTTATACCGAAACCCATTTACTTTAATGCCTTTTCAATTTAATTAGTAATTAAAAAAACGACACAAAAATTTCAAAAAATGATACTTAAAAAAAACATAATTTTAGTTATGGTATTTAATACTACTATACGGCTACAATGAAACAAAAAAAATTTCTATTTGACATTTATCTACCGATGACTTTGTATGAAGCCCCTATATATTTTTGACAAAATAGTCAAAAATACACAGATTATAAAGGTAAAATGTACCGAACATCCAAAATAGATTTAAGTCAAAATAATTTAATAAATATTTTCAATTATTTCGAATCCTAGACGTCCTGGAGCAAAACGAGTGGCAATTTTGAAATCAGCAGCCCAAAATTAGGTAATATAGGGGTTAAGAGCATTATTATTATTATTATTATTAATATTAATATTATTATTATTATTATTATTATTATTATTATTATTATTATTATTATTATTATTATTATTATTATTATTATTATTATTATTATTATTATTATTATTATTATTATTATTATTACCCAGGCAACACAGTGACGTGAATATCACGTTTAATTTACGTCTACGGTAACGTCGAAGTCACCAACTTAGACACGTCTTATCGTCGTAAAATTGACGACAATATGTCACAGCGATTTCACCTGTAGAATTACGTAATATTACGTAATTATTTACGTAATTTGACGTAAATCATCACGTAATATTTCTTGAATAATATATGATTAGGTCATACACTGATAAAAATAATTACCGATACTGATATCAGATATTTCAATGCGAAATGTGATTTTGTCAAAATTAAAAAAACAAAAAATTTTTAGTTGTACTTTTAAATTTTAAGAAATAAATAGGTAAACCCTACTATATATAGTATATATATACTACTATAGTAGACAGGCCCGGCTCCAGACATTTTGCTACCCCGTGCAAAAATATTTTTGCTCCCCCTTATAGTTACCTACTTTTTAGTACCCATTAATTTCCTATAATTTCTAAAAAAACTACCTAAATAATATCGTCCCTTTGATGCTACAATTGGATATCTGGAAAAACACATGGATTCGTAAAATTTCGAGTTATCCAGTTGTAGCATTAAGGGGAAGATAAAATTAACAAACAAGTTTAAAAAAATATTATTTAATAACAAATAAATAAAATATCATCGCATTTAAAAAAAACAGTAATAAATTCTAATAATAATTATTTTATCTAACTGACTAGTAGTAAAAATAAGAAAAATCTGATAACAAACCAAAGTTTAAGAAAAGGAATGCCTTCTGGCTTTTTGCTGAGCAAACGTTGAAATTAAATTGGAAATCTCTAATTTAGAACCTATATCGTTGGTATTGAATAACTTTTTGCCGCCCTTCGATTTTTGCCGCCCCGTGCAGGGGCACGGCTGCACGTACCCTGGAGCCGGCCCTGATAGTAGATATATATTTGGTAAATAATTAATAATCAAAATAAATGTATGTAAAAAAGTAGAATATCAAAAAAAAAATTGTTAGTTAATCTTTGCAGAAACACATACATATGTCTGGCATTAAAATATCGGATATAAGAATAAATAATTATTTTTACTAGTGCATAAAGGGCTTTTGGTTTAATAATTAATAAAACATGTTTTAAGTTGCTCAAAACATTTATTATAAAATCAAACACATTAAATTTTAAGACAGATGACAGGTCAATATTTTAGGAGCTTATGTAGGTACTTCATTTAGGTGTTATGACTTCGTTACGGAATATACTGAGTAATTAAAACATTAATAAACAAACAAAAATTGACCTACCTGACACAGCCAAAGTATTGTCATTATCAGATTATAAAAGTTGGACGCTTGAATCAACCATATTGTTTTTTAGGAATAAACGCTCCCTCGCTTTGTAAGTAGTGTCAAAGAGAAACAGGGTTGCCAGGTGTAAAAATTAATATTATCGAAGAGGGTTGACAAAATGATCAAATTTACAGAAAATTATATAAAATTATCAAAACAAAAATTGTATAAAAACAAGCTAAACTACGCGGCGGATTAAATTATGTTACAATTATCGATTATTATTTAAATTTTACTATTTTAAAAAAGAAAATTATAAAACATCTGGCAACACTGTAGATAAATAATTTTACTAAAATTAAAATTGTGATTGTCAACTGCAGTAACATGTTAATTTCTTATTTTGTGATGAAATGATAAAGGATTTGTTTTAAAAAATCCATTGATCAATAATTATTAATCTATCTAGTTTAAAACCAAATAATGTTTAAAATTATTTTTCTTACTAAGTACCTCGACTCAAAATACGTTGTTTCGTCCCCGATTCCACGGCAGAAAGTTTACGTTTTATGCATTGGTCAAGCTATACGCGCACACTCTAATAGCGGGAGTAAAAATTTTTTAGTCGTGTGCTTAACTTTCAAATTTCATACTGCCAACATGAGAAACACAAAAATATGACAGTTTTAAACCATAATTTTGCAATTATAACAACAAATAAACAATTTATGTTTTTACTTTTTTACTTTTTATGTTGTTTTAAGTGTTTAATGGTACTTTTATTTGTAATAAAGTAGTAATTTGTTAATTAAAATACAACCTTTTATTTTTACTGTATTGGCACCGCTGAATTCACGGCCTAATTTATGCCAGTATACTGTTATTTATTTATCAAGCTCTTCAAATGGAGATAGGTAGGTACATAAATACACATTTAATTTTTTCTCGTATTTTCGGCCGGGTTGTATTTTCGGCCGAGGTAGTAAGAAAAATAGTATACACTACACGGGCAGAAAGTGTGAGAGCCCTGAACTGCGCGCCATGATGCCCTCGGCTTCGCCTCGGGCATCAGGGCGCGCAGTGCAGGAATCTCACACTTTCTGCCCTTGTAGTGTAATATACTATTAATAAAATATTGCACGTTGATTCTCCGTCGAAATAACGTAAATTAAAAAAAAATAATAATTTTTGTTTTTAATAATATTCCAAAACTTTTTGTCGGCCCATTAAAACGGGCCAACTGTTTCTTATTAATTATCACTATATTTTCATATTTTCTTAAAAATTTCGTCATCTGTTCACGTGATAATGACGTCATTCATTGGTTATCATCGATCTAAGTTAATAATTGGTCGTGTTTTGGTGAATTTTGAGACGTCGAAAAATGGTTGAAATGTAACTTCGACCAAATTCGACCCAATTCGTCGACGATTCTACGTGATTTCTACGACCCTGTGTTGCCTGGGTAGTTAATTATAATACATTTTTAATAACTTTAAGACAGCGAAAAAGGGGAAAATTATTTTCGAGATGATTCCTAAAATCCTAAAATAACGTCTTTCCGACATTCAGTAAAAATAATTATTTAATCTGACTAACACAACTTGAGCCTTTAGTCCTGTGGAACCTGTTCGTTAAAGACCCAAACCAAATCCGACCCTCTTATCTGAGCTCAACTCACCTGGCTTTCTGGCGTGGTGCTCTTGGACGGACTGTGTTCGGACAACGCGTACTCCTCGCACCTCGTCTCCGACCTCTTCGGCTCATTACCCTGCTGCAATGCCACGTTACCTTGATTATCGACGAGTCGCAGCTCCTGACTCCTCTTACGCAACATCTCCTCCGTCCAGTACTCCAACTGATCAGCTTCGTGTTCCAGCTGATCCAAGTCAGCTTCCGAACCGCAGCTGTCCAGCTGCCCTTTCATCCACTTTTCTAAATGGATAGCATTACACTTGCTATTAAAACTACTTTTGCTTAATTGTTTACACTTAAGCTCAATCAGGACGTCTATTTGTCTTTGAATTTCTCTACTTTCGTTTTGATTGTTTACGTTTTGCGGCGTCTGAAAAACACGGTACACTTTGTTTTACTTTCGACTCAAGGCACAGTTGATGGTTTTATTGCATTCTCTTGCTTAGGAAAATAATAAATGTAAAGTCTGATTAAAAAATATGCTCTAAGAAATTAACAATCGTGAGAAATCGTGGTTATTATAAATATCGATTGCCTGAATTGAAACAAAAGGAGGCTATTTTAATAAAGATTTAACAGTAAATTTTTGATAGAGCATCAAATGTTTTATAAAAATAGCATAAATATCGATTGTAAGGAAGTGAATATGCCCAGTATTTGTAACACCCTCAGGAAAAATAGCCAAATCGGAACGCGAAATAACATCCAAATGGACATCGATATATTACCGAATAAGGTCAAAATGTTGTACATTGTAATACCTACGTATAATGTACAAATGGACCTTATTCTGCTATAAATCAATGTCTAATTTGATGTTATTCGGCGTTTTTTCAGACGTCCGATTTTGGTCCACTTTTTAACATTGGGACGTCCTATGGACGTTCAGGATTTTGTTTTATGAGTCATAATAGAGTAACCGATTTTTGCATGCTTTTCTCAGAGCGTGTCACATTTTTTAAAAGGGACTTTTTAAACTAATTGAGAAATAAAAACAACATAACAAAAGTATTTCAACCCCGAAAATTTTATACATTTACGAGGGTCGCAAAGAAAATTCTCGACTTAAAACAAGGAATTCGCTAGTAGAAACAGCGCCATCTCTGTTTCAGGTCTAGAACTATCCGTATATACAGTGTGTCTACGGATGGACTTAACTATACTTGTAAAAATATTTATTTTCAATTTTTCGAGGAAAAGTCATTTTTCATAATTTCTTTTGCTTGTTAAATAAATACGATTCGCGTTGAGAAACATCCATATTGTTGTACGGGGTGAGCAAAAATACAGATTTTCAAAATTAAAAATTTTTATATATTTTTTTAAAACGCTAATATAGAGCTGTTAGGAGAAATCAAAAAGTCAAATGAAGTTTTTTCATATGAGTTTTTGATACTAAGACATTTGAAATTAAAAATTTAAGATATTAGTTTTCAAATTTTAACAAATAATTGTAGACATGTCAGTTGAAAGCAACAACCTTGAATTATAATCACAAAATGAGATAGCAGTCAATTTCTACAAAATAATAGTACCACTCAAGTTAAGACCTGAATTGATTTTATTTTTAACAACAAATATCTTAGTAACAAAAACTCACATTAAAAAACTTTATTTGGCTTTTTGATTTCTAAAATATCTGTGGTGTAAAGAGTAATCTTAAAATGGTGTCAGAATCCAACAGCAAGTGGTGTTTGTAAACACCATGAATTATGGTTGAAAATGTTATATACAGCAAACACCAAAACGGTGTTTATCTAAAAATATTTGAGAAGTGCACCTACACAGAAAAAAAGGAGTAGTTCATTTAACTATATCAATTTAGTTGACCCATAAGTATTTATTTATTTTAACTGTGGGAAGGTTAATATAAACAAAGATTAGTTTGATGGTACTAAACCAAGTAGTTATTTTATTTTGTTTTAATTGGTTAAATTAACTCAGAAAACTTTAGTGAAACCAACCCGCTGTATGGTTCAGTTTACTAAATATGTTGTTTGTAAAATAAGAGTTACTTCAACCTAAAGCACTCTGTTAAAACGATTAAAACAATTTGCCGTTCATTCCTGGTTGCATAGTGTGTACCGATCGCGGCAAAGGCGGTGTGGATCACGTGATGCTCTTAAATCTCGCCTCTGTTGACTTACATGAAGAGTATATAAGCTCAGGTAGTCATTTGCTTTGGTGTGACATTACAAGTTGTTTGATACTAAAGAGACCTTATATACGTGGAAACAGCTGTCAATACTTGAAGTATTTTAAGTTGGTGGAACGCACTAAAAACATTATCTCTAGAGAGTTGAAGGTTCAATTTTCTGGAATAATACCATTGGTAATATACTTGTAATGCGTCAAGGAACTTCCTGTTTCCTTTTTTTTCCTTTTTTCTGTGTAGTATGATTTAATTTGACCAAAAACACAAAATATTTAACACTGAAAAGGAGTTCAATAAATTATTTACACCAGGTAAAATTTATTTTAATACTGTGTGAAAGTTAAATTTACACCATTTTAGTATTTGAATTTACACTGGGCCAACGAACCATATTTAACACCATTTTGGTTTGTATCGATATAGACCATGTATGGTGTTAATTTGGTGTTAAAATGGTCATGAAATTTTTAACAGTGCAAGCTCTTTTATATAACACGCAGAAAAAATTATGAAGAGTGACTTTTCTTCGAAAAATTTTAAATAAAAATGTTTACAAGTATAGTTAAGTCCATCTGTGGTCATATTTAAATACAGTAAATGTTTTTTAAATGTTTAATAAGCCAACCTTTTCCTAGCTTTGTAAGTACATACAGTGTGACTCATTTGTTTGCAAACAGGCATGCGCCTCACCTCTGTAAAATAATTATTTATTGTGAGATTTTAACTGGATGTTAAAGTTTAGTGTAGATCTTTTTTGGAGCAAAAACGATATATTTTTACAAAATACAAGGGCCTTGTGACAAGGCCTACCGTGTCAGTTTTCATAATGAAAGGGTATATAAATAAATGGTGGTAGTAGAGGTGACGAAAATCTAATTATAGAGAATTTTTTAAATTCTCTATTTTTGTTTTATTGTTGTTTTATGTTTCTATTGCGTTTTTATTTGTCAAAACCAAGCAAAGACATATTTATACCGAGTTACTATTACTTAAAAAAAGGAAAACTTTGGTGATATGTTAAACAAATATTAGAAATATTCACCAACACCAAAACAAAACACAAAGTGCTTGTACTTTTCCCCAACGATGTTGGTATCTTCAGAAGCCAACATCGTTGGCAAAAGTACTTAAGCACTTTGTATTTTGTTTTGGTGTTGGGGAATATTTCAAATATTTGTTTAATGTTACCATTAGTTTAATTTTATTACAATGTTTTTTCATTGATAATTTGACAGAATAAATTTTTGTACATAGTAATTATTATGCATTTTTTATTTAGCTACAAAAGCGTTCCTACTTAAAAAACTTAAATAAGATTTGGTTTAGGGTCGTTTTGAGGGGTGGTGAATCCAGTGCCGTGCATTTTTTAAATCGCTAATATAAATTCTTAAAAATTTACTTTTAAAAACTTACATAGTAGGCTCCAAAAATACAGTTTATTAAGATCTACAATTTAAAACCAATCCGGTTAAAATTGCACAATAAATAAAGATTTTACAGGGGTGAGTCGCAAACAAATGGGTAACACTGTATATATAATAGAGTTTACCAGATTGGATGCAGTAAAAATCCGATAAAAATAAAATAAAATAAAAATTAATGCAATCGATATTTTTTATATCACCCACGATTTTATAAGTTGTTTAATAATAAAGAAAACAAAAGAACTGGCTAAGGAATATTAAAAAGCGAATTTAATAACTAAAGCTTTTATTTGCAAATATATAATTTTATAAATTACAGTTCTTTTAACAATATAAATAAGTAAATTTCTAAATTGAATCTACTTTAAATTTCATTCTTACTATGTATGTAAATAAAAATTATAACTAGAGAGTCATGCTTATTTATATCCTTTTCAGAATAATTAACTATAACAAAACAAATAATAAAATAGATATAAATAGGCACCACCCTGATAAAGGTAATAAATCTGGACAAATACGGGTGTAATTTGTCAGTTCAGTAAGGATAGGTACTATATAAAGGAGGCAGTCGTTTTGGTACAAAATGCTTTGTACATACATCTATGTACATATACAAAAAGAAAACACCGATGGCACATTCATTACTCTGGATTGATTTAAATCGACACATCTATTGACATTTATTAATGAACATATCGGAAGTACTACGGAAGTAGAGCCCGCCACATCAAGTTGGCACAATAGGTTTCAATTAAGGAGGGATATCAAAATTAACTGCAACTTGAAGATCAAAGGAAATAGAGATCAGGCAGACAACTATAAAATTATTAATCAACTATAATATATAGTTAATACATCAAAAGCTTTGAAATGCTTATAGGGAGTTAAATTCAGTTAAGAGAGTACATAGAATACGTGAATTCGATGTCTAAAAAATTAAATTAAATGACATGTCTTCCTCCTTAATTTAAAAAAAATGTATGTAATAAATTTCTAAAACATCGAGTACAAAAATATATTGCAGTAAAATTATAATTATTGAAGTCGAATCACTATACAGTCAAATGTTTGGCATTTAAGTACTCACAGCTTTGTTTTTAAAGTAACACCTTTAAATAAATCTTTTAAAGCAACTTGATGTAAATAGAAAATTACGACTAACTGAAAATGTTTGAAGATAAAGTTTTATCACTTAAAGTTCAGGTTTGACGTAAATGAAATTTCTATTACGCACATAAACTTTTATAAACGGATTTTTTTAGGGATGGATTTATTTTATCGTTTTAAAGAATACCTTTCTACATACACCCTGCACCAAGTATCCTTTTGTATATCCTTTTATATTTGAAGAGCTATAAGGCCGGTAAAATTACACAAAAGTTGCGTAAGTCCATTAAAATGGAATTTAAAAATTGGAAAAAAATCAATCTTAAAAATTTCGAAAGAATTTGAAGTTATCTACATTTTCATCCAAATGTTTTTTTACGTATTCGATTTTGAGATACCACCACTATTTTGTTTTTCATATGGCCGCCATATTAGAATCTTACAGTGTTAGATAGAAAAACAATCAAGTAATCCAACTATGTAGTAAACTACATAAGTTATGACCGCAATTATAAAAACAAAAGATGGTGATGGTAAATCAAAACATAGTAGCGAATTGGATAAAAATGTAGATTAATGTGTATGTTTACATTTAAAACTTGGTTTGTTTTGAAATTCCCAGGAATAACAAAGTTATAACGACTTTTGGTTCTGAGAGGTTTTCAGTTTTTTTCAAATATG